GACTCTGAGAGAGTTATCTTGTCAAATACCACATGATATGATTTTGAGCACTCCTTAAAATCCAAGTACAATGTTTTGAACTAAATAATATGATTGTATTCCATATGTTGCTGCAATTAGATCAATCATATATGTCAGGATTATGCATTAAGGCAAAATAAATCGTATGCATAGAGTATGTCAGATGATACCAGTATAATCTGAGAACAAGTCATTGTGTAACTTATAGGAACATTCTAAAGTACTTGCGAGAACTAGAGAAATATTCCTGATATGTAAAGTATTTAAAAGAAAGCTATGTTTAAAGTTCTTACACATGTGCTAAACTTCCAAATATATTGAGATGATTTGCAATCACAATCGGACGTGTCCTCATTATGAATGAAGAGAAAGTTACATAGATAGTGTTTCCATGGAGGTTTTAATTATAGTTACACATCAGTTAGAGTACATTATTTTTTGGAGAACCACATACAATGATGCTTAATGTATAGTTCATTACGCAAGTATTAGTATCTACGTCATATTTAAGCATCTAATGCATTCTCAATAATTTTCTCTATATATGAGTTATATATATATATATATATATATATATATATATATATATATATATATATATATATATATATATATATATATAATTGAAAATGTTTGTATTCGCAAAGTTTATACAAATCAAGTTTTGTCAAATCTACTTAACAAAGATCCTTGATTAGCTAAAGCATGAAAGTCAAGCTGGTGCTATAGGGCCTTGTTGATATAAGTAGATGTATTTGATTGAAATTTAGTATTTGGATATTGGAACAATAAAAACAACATATATTGTAATGAGTTGAGATTAATATATGAGTCTTTCATTAAATAATTGTTGTGTTCTATATTAGCATGTTTAAATCCTTGAATACTCAGGTTATTTAAAACGTCCATAGTAGTTCATAGTTGTGGGAGCATCTATGAGGTAAGACTAATATGAGTAGATTGTTTGATTTTCATGGAGATGAAAATAGCAAGAGCTGCTACCAACTTCATAGGTACTTGATTGGGAGAATAAGTATTTGACTTGACCCGCATCAACATCAGTTTATGGATCGTAATCAAGAGTGATGTTTTGATCAAGGTTGTATCTTTGTATTCTTAGACTCGAGATACATATTTGGGACTTAAAGTGTAGGAATTGTTATGCTTTGACATGGTGTAACGTTGTTCCATAAAAGGCAGTCATAAGGGACATCGTTGGGTATAACATGAACTACATTGATGGGCGTATGTAGTCAAGTTGGGATTTGTCCCTCTTATTCGTTTAGAGCTAGACATCTAAGGCCTTACTAAAAGTTGAACACTAAATGAGATTGATGGTGATCCATATGTCGTGTTCGACATGATGTATGAGACAATGAAAAAATTGATACCACACCTTTTGTAACAATTGTAGCTTAGAGCTCCTAGAATTGGATGTTCATGAGATGACACCGTTCATATGTTGTTAGGGGCATTAGCTCGTTGCTAGATGTCAGCTACTGTCTATGTCAGTCTGTAATAAATCTTGTGCAAGTGGGATATTATTGAATTTATATGCCTAAGAATCATTATTGAGTGACATTGCTAATAATATATGATCCTATAGGATCACAACTTTATCAAGTTGGCACATGTTGTATATTTATTATTAATGTGATTATTAATAAATAATATCAATTCTTGTATTTTAAATAGGGAATAATTATTTTTTTGTGAAAATAATAATTATAAGAGAGTATTACTAGTTATTATTTCATATGGTATGAATTAATTAGTCATGCACAACCTTTTTGACTAGTTGGATTCTTTTGTCATTTACCTAAAGACAAAGCTTATATTTTATAAACTTTGAGTTTATAAAAATCAAAGGATTCTTCTTGTTTATTAGGCATGGCCGAAAGTTAAGAGAGGTATGGGAGCTTGCTTGTTAACCTCCCTCTTTTTGTACCCCATGCCTCTAAAGTAAGGTGATTACCTTGGATTATTTAATGGGGTTTCTTTTGCTTTTTCATGGGTATTTAAAGAGGTGTCTTGCATGAGTTTGGAGCTAGTTTTTCTAGTGAATCTCCCCATTTCTTCATGTGGCCGAAACCACCTTACTCTCCCTCTTCTTGTTGTCTTTTGAAGATTCTTGCAAGATTAGAATCCTTCTTGAGTTGTCTCCTTTAGTGCTTATTTGATTTAAGCACTTAAACGCTTATAACACTAAAGAATACAAGAAGGAACTAGCATTCCAAGTGCCTTACTCTTGATGGTGGATACACATAGAGAAAACCATACTCTTTGATATTTTTGCTATCTTCATCAACACCCCAAAACCAAGTGGGTTCAAATGCTTCAAAGGTTGTCATTATAAAAACCTCTTTGGTTGTTTTTTATTTCATTCTAACCTCTATAAATGGATCCTTGATGGTTTGCTTTTGATATAACTAAAAATAAACTTGTTATTTTTAACGCTTCCATTGCGGTTTTTGTGAAAAACAAACTTATATTTTGTATCAAAACCCATCAGTAATGGGACTAATCATAGTCATAATGAACTATGAGTAATCCCATTACTGATGGGTTTGGATACAAAATATAAGTTTTTTTTCACAAAAACCGCAATGGAAGCATTAAAAATAACAAGTTTAGTTTTAGTTTATATCAAAACCAAACCATCAATGATCCATTTATAGAGGTTATAATGAAATAAAAAAAAACCAAAGAGTTTTTAGAATGACAACGTTTGAAGCCTTTGAACCCACTTGGTTTTGGTGTGTTGATGAAGATAGCAAAAAATCAAAGAGAATGATTTTCTCTGTATGTATCCACCATCAAGAGTAAGACACTTGGAATGTTAGTTTCTTCTTGTATTCTTGAGTGTCTTAAGCCTTTAAGTTCTTAAATCAAATAAGCATTAAAGGAGACAACTCAAGAAGACTTCTAATCTTGTAAGAATCTTCAAAAGACAACAAGAAGAGGGATAGTAAGGTGGTTTCAACAACATGAATAAATGGAGAGATTCACTAGAAAAACTAGCTCCAAACTCATGAATGACACCTCTTTAAATGGATCCTTGATGGTTTGGTTTTGATATAAACTAAAAATAAACTTGATATTTTTAACGCTTCCGTTGCAGTCTTTGTGAAAAACAAACTTAGATTTTGTATCAAAACCCATCAAAAACCTTGGGAGGTGATAAACTCACTTGCCTTAGAACTTATATTAAATCGTAAATAAATGTTACAAGTGCTAGCTGATCTTGGTAAGAATGTGTTTGTGCTCAAGTGTCGAAAGAATAAGAGAAGAAGAAGAAGTGAACGGGTCTATGTGTGTTAATCAGCTAGTTTTTTTTTACATAACAAGAATAACAAAAACTCCGAGATTCTTGGGATTTTATTTGATCTTTGCTTGATCCGACTTTCACGAGGGTCTTCAATGTTCATGAAACATTTGACCACGTGTAGTTGACTTGGTCTATTTTTTCATTAAGTTTCATGTCCCTACACATGATTTTACATGAAAAACAATAGCAGTCCAAGATATTGAACAAATCCAAGATTTTTGGCTTGCCCAGGATGTTAGTTCAAGATTAAATGGTAAGTCAAAATTTTTACCCACAACAAAAACGTTAACGGCCTGTACAAGTAAGAGACTGTTGGAAATGGTATCCAATGTCATTAATTGTTTTGGTAATATTTTTAATAATAGCAACGTCCGTTTTGTGTTGGCCTCATGACCAATAGCATAATGTAATAGAGTTTAATAATGTGTTAATTTATTAAGAAATTAATAAATTATTTTGGTAATTAATTAAAAGGATTTAATTAATTAAAAGATGTTAATTATTAATTAATCATAAGGATTCATTGAAATATTTCAGAACCTCCTATAATGCTTGAGGTGGACAGTTTTCATAGGCTAGAGGGATAGAGTTGGTATGAATCAGACAAGGATAAACCCTGGAGTTTATATCCATATGAGATTCTAAGAGCTACCTATAAATAGACTGCTAGGGTGAACCATAGAGCCAATTATTCCACACCCTAAAATCGTCCAACCTCTACTCCTCCTTCTCCATATACGAAATTCTCATCCTCTCTCCTAGGCTTTTTGAGTTTTTACATAAACCCTAATTTGTGGTTTCTCCGTTTGTTATTTGGTGTATGAGTCTGATTTCATTAGAGGGATTCTCCTTTGGATCCTTCATCTTGCAACAAATTGGCACATACGAGTTCACAAGGAAGTGAACAATATGTTAGTTTTCTTTTATTGTCGTTTTTCAAAGTAGGATGCTATAATCGTAAAACTTAGATCCTAGGTTGCATATGCACTTAGATATATCAAGTTTTGATATTTCCAGTACCTATGTAATATGTACTTGATGCTATTAGTCCTCAACAGATAGAGTGTATGCGGTTAGCTGACACATCAATTTGAAGATTATGGTTAGAAATGATGTGAGACTCGTGAATCTTAAGCATAACTTGATCTGAGCATCACATGGTTTTTGCATGGCTGATTCACTATTTGTTCTATGATCCACAACATCCTTGTTATAGAAAATGAAATGAACACAATCCGAAATCAACATGTCTGATGAAAGAATTCCACATAAAATCCAAAATATGACAAAATTTTATGACTTTTTTTTATATTGTTCGTTGTATCTTTAATAGTGTTTGATCCTACACAATGAGTGTATTAGTAGATATGTAAAATTCCATACACAATGTTTATAATTCAACTTCTCACATATAAAGATTATTTTAAGTATTCTACTATTGGGCTCTGGTGGGGTCATGTGGCTCGTTAACAAAACAGTTCAAACGATTCACTCTGTTCAAATGATACAATTTATTATCTATTTATTTATATTTATTTTGTTAAAAAGCGTCGATATTTAGAGAAAGTAAATATGGAATTAAATTTTTTTTTTAGTGGTCTTTAAAATACAAATCCGCCGCTATTTAAGCCCGAGAACTCCACCCAATATAGTGTAAGTGAGAGAAACAAAAAAGATTACTTTAGATTCTGTAGCAGCGGCAGATTGCTAAAGTTTTGTTGTAGTATAGCCAACCCCTTCAGATTTCAGAGAGAGAAACACCTTACTGTGTTTTTACTGTGTGAGAGAGAGATAGAGAGATTAAACCCCCGGTGAAGATGATAGCTTATTTAGAGCATTTCGTTCACGAGAACGACTCCGACGCCATGCTCCAACAAGAAGACGAAGAAGCAGCTTCTAGATTATGCCAAGCCATGGACCTTCAAGGCACTATCGATTACAGGTCTACCGGCTACGCCGGAAAAGACTTCGGCGGCTTGCATGCATCAACGCCGTTAGCCGTCATCAGACCTTCCGGTAGCCACGACATCGCAAGTGTCATCAGATTCGCGTCTCAATCGCCGAATCTGACGGTGGCGGCAAGGGGAAACGGTCACTCAATCAACGGTCAAGCCATGGCCAACAGAGGACTCGTCCTCGACATGAAGGAGTCTTCCGATGCCGGAATTGACCTCATCCGTTACACCGACGGTTACGCCGTCGACGTCGGCGGTGGAGCATTATGGGAAGACGTATTGCGATGGTGCGTTTTGGAGTTTGGTTATTCCCCGCGGTCGTGGACGGATTACCTAGGGTTAACCGTCGGCGGAACGCTGTCTAACGCCGGTGTTAGCGGCCAGACTTTCCGGTATGGTCCGCAAACGTCAAATGTAACAGAATTGGAAGTTGTTACAGGTAACGGAGACACCGTGATCTGTTCCGACACCCAAAATTCGGAGCTTTTCTTCTCCGTTCTCGGCGGACTTGGACAATTCGGTATCATTACTCGGGCTCGGATCCTTGTTCAACCCGCCCCGGATATGGTTGGTATTTTCGTCAATCCTTTAACTAACTATTATATTGTACCTTGTGCATTAGAAAATTGTACGCACATTTTTGCTGAATCTTACACGTTTACGAAACGCAATTAGGTGAGATGGATAAGGGTAGTATACTCCGAGTTTGACGAGTTCACCCAGGACGCTGAGTCGTTAATAACCCAGTCAGAAGGCGAGTCGTTTGATTACGTTGAAGGATTCGTGTTTGTTAACAGCGACGACCCGGTAAACGGATGGCCATCAGTGCTACTTAACCCGGATCATGCCTTCGACCCGACTCCCATGACCCGATTCGACAACCCGGTTTTGTATTGTTTAGAAGTCGCTTTACATTACAACAAGGGAAACTGCTCTACAACAGTCGATACAGTGAGTCTCTGTCTTTTCTTGATCCTATGCATCGCACCTCATCTTTTTTTATAGTGCTCCTTGTTTCTGATATCAAAATCACTTTACCAAATCCACTTTTCGCCATTCCAATGGTACTTTTTTTAAGCATATAATTGGATATATCTTCACGATATTTAACCAATCATTTTTTTTAAATAGAAATAAAAAGAAAAACATGGTATTTCTAATTTCTGTTTATTGGCAAGCATAACATAAAAGAAGAATTATTTATTGATATGGCCAAAGTCATATAGGACATGCATGTATATATTTATAACCATATGCTTTGGTGGAAATTATTATTATATTCTTTAGGTCCCATTGTTTTAACTTTCCACATTTATTAATTATCCTTTTCTTTTTATGGTACAATGTTTTGGAATTGTGGTTTACTAAAAGATGTTGTTCAAATCGCATGAATATATATGTAGGTACGATTTGTTTTATATATTTATGTAAAAGTAGATGATGACAACATACGCAATCACCATAGCATCTCCCCTACTTCAATCTTAGTTATATAGATAGCATCACCATGTATCCATGTGGCATTTCTTATATATATACCATGTTTTTTACTAAAAAAATATATTTTCACAATTATTATTCCAAAAAGATAAAGATAATGAATCGAGTAAAGTTATGAATCCTAACTCTAATGATTTTAACTTTGGCTAATCAAATATTATTATAACTTTGTCATAATCACTTTAAACACAATTATCACATATTTAGTTTTGCCTTTTTATGAAAAGATGGGAGTGTAATAAATACGAGGGTTGACTATATTGACCTTGGTTAGTGCATAAAAGCATGTCAATATAGGATGTTTGACTATAGTACGGGTGAAGTGAGCAAAAAAAAAAGTCAAAAGAAAATATTCGGCAAGTGTTTACCTGTACACGTGGCACTAGAATAGGTGAGGAGGTCCGGTTATTTGTATGTCTACCGATGACAGCATGGATGGGTATGGGTGATATTACCATTTTAGCCCCCATCATCAGCTACCCAATACACAGTTGTTTTTAGAAAAACTGACAATAAGGCAACTACAGTATCTTCCATTGGATTCTCTGACACAAAGTAGCAAAAACAACCACAGAATTTGGTCATATTTACGAGATTGACACCCGTACTTGACACTGGTGAGAGCATATTGTCATTGTCCTAAATGGCCAAAACATTAATATTGTTCACCGTAAGCGTTTCCAGTGCGCTGTCGTTTTGCTGGTCATTGAGATTTTGGGTGACGTTTTCGGTCCCCCACTTCTTGCTCAATACCCCATCTTTTGTCGCCTGCTTTTTGCCCTTGCTTTTCATAATCAACAACAGTTCCTTTTTCTGAGTTTTTATTTATTTAATTTTAATTAGAGAGTAGAGAAGTTGCTTGGACGGCTGAGATTTATGGAGGACACCCAATTCCAGGTGGACCTCACCTACGTGGATTTTTTACTACGTGTAAAAGAAGCCGAAAAACAAGCAAAAGCAAACGGCATATGGGACACCCCACATCCTTGGCTCAACCTATTTGTATCCAAATCCTCGATCATGGATTTTGATCGTTGTGTGTTCAAGAAAATATTGAAAGATGGCATTGGGGGGCCTATGTTAGTCTATCCTATTCTGCGAAGCAAGTAAGTAATTCTCCTTCTCATAATTTAATATAATATAATATGATATCATCTATCATCTCATTTCATTTCCCTTGACATTGACACTATTAAAAATATGTAGTCCCAGATTATCCTTTAAAAAATCCTTAAACGTCCAATCCGCCACTATAATATTATATATTGAAATCTTCCATCGATTTATGGAACTTTTCCGTAAAAGGGTTATTTAACGGATAAAGTCGTGTTTGACATGAGCTTCTCAGAGCTTTTTGGTTAGCTTTCCGAATTGTTATTTTTTGGTTTTTATGTACTTTTATACCTTTAAAAGTTACCAGTTATTTTTGTCGAGCAATTCTGAATAAATAAAATTTCCAGTTGCCAGCTAGTTTTGTCAAACGAGTCCAAAATCTAATCTAGGAAGGAACATATTAAAGATGTAGAATCAATTGGGGGTCGATTTTGATGTTTAAATTTGGGTCCACGAGGTTAACTTGTTGTGGGAGGGATAAAATTAGTTGAAAAGAATATAAAGGCCACGCGTGCAGTGATGATGGTCACGTGGAGGACGGGCTACATGTCGTCCCATGTGGTGGATTGCCGATTGCGACCGTGGTGGGGTACTCCAGTGGAGAGAGGGTGACTAGTGAGATCAATTTGATATGGTATATGTTGACTATTTTGCTTAGATGGGGTGGTTAAGATCTTCTTAGAAAAATGAGGTCATACAAACTATGTACTTTGTTCACGCATGATTATTTTTCTACTAGTAGACTTCTCTTACAACCATTCATTTATAGTCTTGATGCAAAACATAGTAAAGTAGTTTCATTTAAATTTTTGAGAAAAAAAAATATCCTATTACTTTCATTGATTTGTTTATTATTATATCATATTGATTTTCCTTTCTCGTTTTTATTTAATTAAAAGTTGTCCTATTATATCAATCGTATTGAAATTCAAAGTGGTGTGTGAATTGAATTTTTAAAGAATAATGATCTAATTAGACAAAAGTTATAAGTAGAATACTGTAGAATTTGGTAGAATTTTTAAACTAGGATACATTAATATGCAAAAATAAGAACTTAAAGAATACAAAGAAATAAAATTAAAATGTTATTGTATCCAAAACTTGTTATTTTTGTTAGGTTAAATACAAGGAATTGCACTTTGTTATCATTTATTTGATCATTATAGCGTGGTATTTTTAACTTTTTATTATTATATTATAATGTGTATAATATATATATCGAATTATAATATATAACAATTTCTTAATAAATTTAAGAAAATATGGCATTATAATAAAGTAATAAACAAAAGGAGGTTACTATTTTTGTGTTATTTATAGGTTAACGTATTTTAGGTGGGACTTGGGAGATATAGGATTTGGGAAGAGGGGTAAGATGGTAATTTAGATGGTAGTGTATTATACTATTATCTTTTGATGGAAAACGAGATTCCCAAGTGATGTAGCAATCGGAGCAGTCTCTGGCGAATCAGAAACGACAACGCAAACCCGTTGGGCCCATTCCTTACAATGACACCATATGGTTCTATTTCATTTTCTTCCTGACCAAAATGTCCCTATCTTATACCCCATACAAACATTTTCATCATTTTATTTATTTTGTTTTTCTCATCAATTTTATTTCCTTTTTATTTTTCTTGATTGAGACTCCATCTTCCCTCATCATTGTGTACATTTCATTGTGGTCCTTTCTTTGTTTTGGACCACCACATTTTAAAGATCAAATCAATATCTTCTTGAGATAATTTTTTGTTTTTTTTGTTTTTTTATAATCAATTAGGTGGGACGAACGTGCATCAATAGTATTACCGGAAGGAGATATCTTTTATATAGTTGCATTGCTCCGGTTCACAAATCCGTATCAAAAGTCCCCTTCTGTTAGAGATCTAGTTTTACAAAATCAAGAAATCATACAAACTTGTGTTAGAAGTGGATTCGATTTCAAGTTGTATCTTCCTCATTACAATACCGAAGATGATTGGAAGCAACACTTTGGGGATCGATGGTTGTGGTTCGTGGAGATGAAATCGAGATATGATCCGATGGCTATTCTTGCACCGGGGCAAAAGATTTTTACAAGACATGATGAGTCTTGTTGATTAATCCATATGGTTGTAGGGTTGTACAATTATTTTTTGTTACAAATTTTATATTCTGTTATTGACTCTTGTATTTTTTTTTTTCATTTTAGTTTTTTGTGTTCGATTGGAAAAGGAAGAAATTTCAAGCAAACAATGTAAATGAATACTTTTGGGCAACCAATTTTGATCCATTGCTTTGATTGTTTATATGTTACTTTCATATATAAATGATGATATTTGATTTTTAATTAAAATATATCTTTAATTTTTGTTGTCATATTATTTGATTCATGAAAATGAAACTACATTATTTCATTCATAAACGGGATATTTCAAGGAGATATAAATGTAATTTTTTTTGTCAAGTTATAACATTATGCTTTTAATATCTAATTTGTTAAAAATAATAATGTTTATTTATTGCAAGATTAACATTGATATATATTTTCATAATTAGGGTAAGAATTGTAATTTATTAAAATATGTTTGTGAGTATATTTTGGCGTAGGGTTTGTTTTGTCATTAGTTGTTTATACAGGGACTGCGACTCATTTTATGTATTCTTGCATTGACACGCGAAACGGGTATTGTTACGGAAGACGAAGGATCTGAGGAACAAGGTGGCGTATAGGCTTAATCTGACGGCCGAACATAGTCAGATCCACAGCACCTTTCATGTCTCCCAGCTGCGGAAGTGCTTGATAGATAACTCTGCAGTAGTGCCTCTAGAGAATATTCAGGTGGATGACAGTCTGAACTACATCAAGCGACTGGTAGCCATCCTCGCCAGGAAGACGAAGGATCTAAGGAACAAGAGGGTCGAGTTAGTGAATGTGCAATGGCAGCACCGCAAGAGCTCGGAATGGACTTGGGAGCCGGAGGACGAAATGTGGGACCACTACCCAGAGCTATTCCCAGATGCAGCAGACTTCGAAGACGAAGTCTAAAATAAGTGGGGGAGATTTGTAACGCCCGGATCCTGGTATGTATTTTAAATTAAATCATTCATTTTTGCAAAGGGACTCGACGAGTTGGAGGCCCCAAACTCGTCGAGTAGAAACAGATTTTTGGACACGGGACTTGAAGTCTACTCGACGAGTTGAGAAGCCTCAACTCGACGAGTAGACTGCCAGAGTGAAACCCTAATTTTCAGGGTTTTTTGTACCCTATTTAAGCACCTTAACACTTCATTGTGTCCTCCCTCATCGCCTCCCTTAGTCCAGCAAAACCCTAATTCGTGATCTAGAGCCTTTTGAGTGTGTATGAGTGAAAAGAGAGTGTTTCTTTGGTATTTCCTTGAAAGAGTGGAAGCTTGAAGTGCTTCGTTGAAGGAGGGAGCTTTTGGATCCAGAGATTTCGTTGTCAAAGCAGCCTTACTGAGGTATAAAGTCTATACCTTGACTATTCATTTACTAGATCCCTTCATGGAGTAGTTTAGGGCTTTAAGGAGCATATTCGGAACCATTCATGGATGCAAGCATGTTTTGGAGTCATGACTTCAGATCTGGAGCCTTTAAGGGACTCCATGGCATAAAGGTGCCAACTTTATAGCCATGGGAGTCTCATGCATCTTGTGAACCACTTTTTAGGGCTTTTTGAGCTAAATAACTCATGCATGGACATAAAGTTAGAAACTTTACGTGATATATCAACCTTAGGGAACCAGATCTATGGTTTGGAAGCTTAGAACCCGACTGGAAAACGACAGAATGAATTTAGACTATGGGGGGACTCGACGAGTTTTTCATACAACTCGGCGAGTTGGGTCGTGGTCCCCCAACCTTTTCTGTTACTGAGCAGACTCGTTGAGTCTAGAAGATGACTCAGCGAGTTGGCCATGGTTTGGGTTATGAAGATTGAGGAACTCGACGAGTTCAAGGAGGGACTCGGCGAGTTGTGAGTAAAAGGTCCCGACTATGCTATGAAGATGAAATCGATGAGTTCATGAAAGGACTCGACGGGTAGGATTGAGATTTCAGGGTTTTATGGATTATGGAACTCGACGAGTTGAGTCAACCAGGATGTTGACTTTGACCAGGATGTTGACTTTGACTTTGATCATTGAGCAGAGTTGACCCTTAAAGGGGGTTATGAGTATGAAATAGTAATTCAAAGAGATTGTTATGTGGAGTTTGAGAGGAGTTGATCTCAGAGCCGAGGACATTTCAGCTACTTCACGACACTGAGGTGAGTTATCTTCCAATAGAGGTGGGTCTAAGGCATCAATGTCGGCCCACCAGTAGGTAATCATGTTTGAGATGATTGTCTTTGTGATAATTGTCTGGTATGCCACTATCCGTTATTCTTTATGTGCGAGTATGCTATGTTATTATGTGGTAGTGGTAGGGGAGTGAAATAGTCCCCGGTTACCGGTTGAAAGATACTGAAGGGGGAGGCCAGCACCCGATTATGCTAGGCAATTACCGGTTAAAAGATACCGAAGGGGAGGCCAGCACCCAGTTATGCTAGGCAGTTACCGGTTGAAAGATACCGAAGGTGAGGCCAACACCCAGATATGCTAGGCATTATGTGTTTATATGGTATGTGGTATGATGGGGGAACTCACTAAGCTTTGTGCTTACCTTTTTCAGTTTTAGTTTCAGGTCCCTTTTCTTCGAAGGGAAAGGAACCGACACGGTAGCATCGCATCACACACACGATTTTCCGCATATGAGATTCTTGGGATTTGTACTCTGACATTATTACTATCTGATGACATGCTTTTGAGACATATGATCTATGGTTTTTATGAAATAAGATAACTTGATGTTGTTTTCTATAAATTGTTTTATGAATTGTCAAATCACAAATGAAATTTTTGGTCTTGAATTTTGGGATATTACAATTGGAACCTTTTCTCTCCGGCGATTTCGAAGCCCCTGGTCGTCGCTTTTTACGTTTCAGTCGGCGGGATCAAACGTCAGCAGGAGATATTCCTGGTGCAATTCCAAGTATGTGGTTATAAAGATTCGGTTGTTGCTGGATTCCAATGGTAGGAAACGAGATTCCTTGCAATTCAAAGTTTGTTCAAAACAACAATAGATCTATGGACAAGATTTCAGTCGCTTATTATGTCACGAATTTCCCAGTTGATGTTGAAGGAAAGGATTTATGGAAGGTGTGTGAGAAAGTGGGGGTAGTATCAGATGTTTATATCGCTCGAAAACTCTCTAAAATTGGTAAGTGGTTTGAATTTGTTTGATTATTAAGGTTCTTGATGAAAAAGCTCTTGAAGTGAAACTTAGGAAGTTATGGATTGGCCAATTTTATCTGTTCGTTTTATTGGCTAGGTTTAGTAGGACTGATGTGAATCAAAAAACTGCTAGACCTCATGATCATTATGGTCATAATAGTGGAACCATGCATGTGTCTCGTGATCAGAAAGATTCATATGCACATGTCGTTAGAGGTGGGGATGTCATGTATTTTTCTTCTGGTAAAGATGTTTCTATTTGCTCTCTACAGGTAGGAGAGATCACTAATAGTCTTTCTATGCAATCTTCTTTGTTTGGAAAAGTTCGGGACGAAGACTAATCCCGAAACTTGTAGTTTTATTGCATGACGAAGGATTTTGGTGAATCAAAGAATCGAGTATTGAATTAATCAGAGTATGAATTCAGGTAAGAATGCGAGATTGAACACCGGATGTAAATATGATCTTGTTTCAGCTCTATTACGCTTTCAGATGTTTACAGAGTACAATAGACAGGTCTGTAAAAACTCTTCTCTAACTCTAGTAAATATCCCTATTTATAGGGAACCGAAAGCGTACAAAAGATATACTAAGGCCTAGACACTTAAGCTTCGAATAAATGCGCCCTAGTAAAATACATTACAAAACATTTGAAGAGTTCAAAATACATTTCGACTAATTACAACAATTCGACCCTTACAATCTCCCCCTTTGTAATCATAGTCGAAGTACTCAATTAGTAAGAAGCTGGATGGAATACAACATCACTCTTCGAATCTCCGTGTACCAGGAGATAATCTTTTTCAGTTCTTTCTTATCTCCTTCATTGTTCTTCTTACAGTGATTCATACGAACAATTAAATTCGTATATTGAGATGTTGAATATCTCTCCACTTCGCATGCCTGGAATAAAAATCGTTTAGCTTTTCCAGCCTTGTCTTTTCCTGCGAATACCATTCCAAAAGGCTTCAGGCAAATTTCACCATCAGCATTCTTCTTCAATTCTGCCTGAGTCTTCGTAAGAGCCATCAGAACTTTAATTTCCATACCCTTAGCTGTAGCTAACTCCACATCTGTAAGAGCCAAGCACTTATAGTAATTTTCGATGAAAATCTTGATGTGAGCAACCCCAAGCTTGAATTCATCAGGTTCTGTGTTTTGAAGGTATGAAAATGATTTGTCTTTTAAAAGCAATGCAACTTGTATAAGATCATACAAGTTCATTAATGGAAAATCTGCAACAGTAAACTCACAAATATTTCCATTTGCCCTGGCAACCACATACTTGAAATTTTGGACTGTGTTTTCGAATACCACATCCTTTTTCATACTGATAACTTTCTTGATTTTAATCAATGACCATACTTCCTCAGGGGCTTTTGCAAGAACAGCATGAAAACGAATTTTCATGTGTGTACCTTCATCCTTTTCTTTAAAATTTCCTTCAGCTTTGAACTGAGGCATGATGAACATCATTTCGTTTATTGGAACTTTCGCATCTTCACCACTAGTCTTCGAATCTCCAGTTTTTCTTTCTCCCCCTTGCACCCCTGTGAAAACAGGTGGGGCATTTGTTGTTGGAAGAAGGCTTGATATGCGAAAGAGAGGAGCAAGTTGCTTGTTGAGAATGGCTTCGAATTGGATAAACTTTTGTGATAAAAATTCAGGAGTAATCAGGGAAGAAGAAACTGGCCTTTCTGAAATTTCTTTTAACTCCTTGAGCAAAGTAATCACTTCCTCAAAGTTTGCACTTTCGGATGTTGAAAGTTGAGTAAGTTGAGGACTCAACTTTTCATACAATTTGACAAATTTGGTGACAGCATCACAAATTATATCAACCTTTTGATTCAAGGATGCATAATCTTGTTGAACAGAAGCAACTTCTTTTTGCATGTCTTCACGACGTTCACGAATTGCAAATTAAACATCCTCCCTTACTTTCTTCACTTCCTGAACAAAAAGAACATGCCTTTCCTTTGTGACAT